TATTTTTAGAAGCTGCCCATATGGTGGTGTGTTGAGTCATCAAAACCTGAATGAGTGGTTTGGCAGGCTGAAGCTGGATGCTCCTTCTTTCACTCATTGTAGAGTGTGAGGTTTAAAGCACATGTTAGTAAGCATTATAGGGTGATGCATCTTTGCCTCAAGACACCAGCAGGATTGGGGTGCCCTTGCCCTGTGTTGTAGGTAAACACAGATAAAATGGTTCAAGATTATCAACTATGGGATAAAACCCGTCAGCTGAGACTTACAACAGAGAAGAGGATACAGAAAGAGTGGCAAATTTTATTACTTTATTAAATTCTTATGCCACTACGCTTCATTTCTCCAGATTTGTGCCTTGGTTGGTCATAGCAGTGCACTGTGTGCTCTTACCCTTCCCTTCATCCCAGCTGTTTCCACAGCTGCAACTGGGCCAGCGCTGCCCTCATGCAACACTTCTGTTGCTTCTGTTGTTTTTTGTTTCTGTTATTGAAAAGAGGAAAAAAAAAAAAGCACAGCACATACTGTGTATTGCTGACAGAACTGAAGACCAACTTCTCAGCTTTCAAGATCTCCTTCTTGATATCATGGAGAAAAGGTTCCCTGCTGAATAGCAGTAGTTGCTATGACATTAGAGATTAATACCAACATATATTTGATAAATGACCTTAGCACGATCTGATTTCCCACGTGGAGCAATCATCACCACCTCAGGAGGCTTTCCTGCCAGTGTTGTTTGCAGCTCGGGACACTCCGACCATAAATCCTCTGCAGGACAGTAAGGTTGCAGCACAGAATTCCTGCAATTTGCTGGGACAAAGAATTGAGATCGCAATATTTAGAAAGTTTTGATGACAGGGCGAGCATTTTGGCCACTGGGAAAGAGGGAATTAGGTGAGTGTGAAAGACAATGAGACGATTCATTGGTAGGGAGAAACCAAGGGTAATGACAAAGTGAAGTTGAGGCAGGGGTGAGTGGGGGATAACATCAGTGAAAAAGGTGAATAACAAAATCAAAATCCATTAATTATGTAGCAGGTTGCTTCCAAGGAAGCAAAGCCAAGCAAATTAAAATACAAAAGTATTGGGATAAATCTCAAAAATAAGATCTGGTTGATCTGGCAAGAGTCAACTTCATTATTTCATTCTCTGTCTCATCCTCTGAATCCTCCTTCCTTCTGCTGGATGTCTTCCTGATGTCTGTGCTAAGGGTCTTGTTGGTTCTCCAGCCTCCCGACTGGTGCTGGCACATGTTTGTTGGAGCTTACGAAATGGTTACCTGAAGCCTCCGAGTCATTAGTAAGCCCGGCTTAGAGCCATTTATTTTCAATGAGATTTTTATGGATTTTTAATTCTGTCTGGAGCTGGGTACCAATTACAAGGACACAGAAGAGAAAACAGAAATAAACATTCTAGGACCCAGATGCAGGAGGGTGTTTTATAGACCTTGATTTCCCAGTGGCTTGAGTTTACAGCATTTCCATTCCAGGAATTTTATTAAAGCAGAGAAGGTCTTGATCTTTTCTTCGCAGAGGCTGCAAGGAAAAGCTGTCCGGTCTCACTGCCTGTCCACTGAGAATCACAGCTACGTGCCCTTCGTGGTGCCTGCCAAGCTGCCAGACTTTGATTCCTCCAATTCATGCTTCTGTGGAAGTTATGGGCCAGCTGTGTTCATCTATTATAAAGAATTCCCACGGAATTCTGTCAAAAAAAGGCCATGTTTATTGATTTTTCACTAAAACCCCTACACTTCATGGATTTTTTTATATATACCCTGGAGCATTTTCTTTTCTGCATGGGAATGCCTTTCTAACTAGGGTGTAATACAGCAGTGACATGAGCACGTTATTTTCATTGCAGCTTAAAAAGGGTGTCCTTAAAAATGCTGTAATTTCAACCCAACTATAATTTCTCTGTCTTACAGTTCTCAGTTTAGGACAGACCAGGCACAATTTATCAACCTGATTTCCTTGTGTGAAGAGTTGATTACCCAAGACAGGCGGCTATTACATGCGTGGTGTCTTCAAAGGTATTTTTGGTTGGCCGTGGCTTTTGGTTTTGCCTATGTTGTCATCGGCTGCTCTACCCAAAGCACTCCTGCTTGCTCTCAGTGCCTTCCTGACTCTTGTGAGCCCTGTAGTGACCATCCACCTGAATCTACGAGCTCAAGGATCAGTGAACAATGGGGCTGCCTGCCTTGAAGATCAGCAAACGCGTCAGGAGATCCAAAACCATGCCAGGTACACAAGTGAGGGAAGAGCTCTAACAGGAGGAAGATGGAAAAGAGACACTCAGGAAATGAGAGCTAGGGCAGACAGAAGAGCAGAGGCAACAGGAGGTCATCTCCAAGCATAAAGAAAAGAATACAAGTCTAAAACTTGGCATAGTAAAGCATTCACATAGGAAGTTGCAGGTGCCTAACTCTACTCAAAATGCTGTGTGCTTGTCAATATGATTTTTCCAGTGCTATTTTATGTACCCGGTGCTCCTGAATGTCAGACCAATTTTATCTTTTTTCTATATTCCATGTCAATAAGTGGAAGAGACTTTATTGAAAACTGGGTCAGAATGCTGCTGTGTGCTCCGTGACGAGTAAATTGGGCCTTTTTGCTGCCCTGTAGGTCACGGTGCTGAAGTGACTTCTATGTCAGCAGATGCAACGTGAGGTTGGACTAGGTCTCCAGTATTTTTTTTTTTACCAGCTGAAAACTCTCTAATTTTAAGAGCCAAAAGAGTAATTATACTCTAATTGCTGTCAATGCGATTGTATGTCTGGTGTAACTCTGCCCTCAGAGGCAGGGGAATGGGCTGCTGCGGGAACTGGGCTGCTGCTGGAGAATGCTTTGTAGTGATGCAACCAAGCAAATCTATTGGCATATCTAAACCCTTCAGGTAGGTTTGCTGGGTCACTTCTGAAGCTGTCCTATAGCCCCAGGTGATACCTCTAGACAGGACCTGCGAGTGTGCATCAGTCATCTCCAATCAGGAAGAAAATTTCATAGTTTTTTTTTCTGTCTGCTGCAAGGTTTGTGAGAAAACCCTTCTGCAACAGAGCATGAGGGGTACAGGAACACATCCAGGACTTGGAGAGGAAGGTAGGACGTTGCAGGGGCCTAGGGAAGTCAGTGAGGGAATACCTACCTTCCTACCAGCACTGCAAGTTTGCTGTTTCTCCTTTATTGTGACTTTATAGGGCCTTGAATCTCTTTAACTACTGTATTTCTGATGGGTTTGTCTTCCAGCATCTTAGCACCACAGCACAAGAAAGGCAAGCTGCTTCTCTGTGAATTTTGCTTTATTTTGTTTAATGAACTTAATCTTTGCTTCTGGCTGCCTGCTAAGGGCGTTTGAATGGTACATGTAAGTAGTCATCAGGCTCTTAACCAGGAGTCTCCTGAATTAATTTAGATTCTGAGAAAAATTAGGCCTGTCTGTAGGGTTCTTTACTCTCAGTAAAGCTCTCTTCAGCCTTCTCATGCTGTCCCTGAGACACAGACGTCACTGCTAACCCAGTGCAGGCAAATAATACCTTACCAGTGGTATCAGCAGCAAGATTGAACCCTCATCACTGCTGAACAGAAATTACCCTAAATTACCCTATAAGTCTGTATTTGCTGCATATTTATGTTTATAATGTTACAGCCTAGACAGGTTTTCCACCAGAAAACCTCTTTGCTCTGATAACGATGAAGCTTAATGAAAGACAAATTTCTGAATTAGGGTTTTATTTTAGAAGTGAGTTTTTCTCCGAAGTCACTTCATTGTAATTTATGGAGTCCTTTTTTTGTTGTGTGAAGTTTGGATGATGACACAAATATTTATTGGCAGTAACCCTGGCCTAATTTATTATTAACCAGCTATCTGGCAGAAATTCTATGCTGTAGGCAATTTTCATGAAGTGTGATTAATCAATAGCAATTAATCAAAGCCCACAGTCTGTTAGTCCCAAAAGAAAATAAAAATAGAGAGGAGCTATCAAGAGACTTTCCAGAAACTGAAGCTGTGTGTGAATGTTCCTGAAGAGTAAGTGAAGAGAAGCTGGACAAATTATTTTATTTTTTGATTTGAATGTATAAATCATATAAATCGTAGTTAGCTAGCACTAACTGTTGTTGTTAGAACAGTTTCTTCTCACTTCAGGACATTAATTGATGCTCCAAACTTCAGTTTGCTCAGATGCAAAACAAGATCAGTCTGTTTGTAGCTGCAGGTATCAGTCAGCACTGACTGGAGGAGTTGTTTAGGTACTCTCTCAGTTCAGTTCATTCATCTGCAGGCCTGTTACCGATATTAAAACTTAGATATGCTATATTTTGTTTCCCATTTTGCTTCTATTGTTTGGGGGTTATGACTTCCTATCTTCAAAGGTCTACGTTTATAAAACTGAATCTCAGATGGGTAGGCTTCTGTAGGCTCAGAATAGACCACAAAAATATTTTGTTCTTCTAGGTCCTTGGTTAAGTTCCCCTGCAAAAATAATCTAAAACCACTTTTCATCAAATGCCATTTAAGTCAGTCATTTCTGATACAAACCTGTGCCAAGTATTTAGGTCCATGGCATACATATGTCAGGGTTACTAAGCACTAGGGAGTTCTTCACGGTAATTTAGCAATTAATTATCCTTCTCTAGACCCCTCTCTGCTGAGATGCAGTTAACTGACTGTGTGCGAATGCGATCTTAATCTGTTGCAATGCAAAATAAAATGTATTCACACCATTGACTGCTGACAGCAATAGGAGATGACTTGCAAAATCCACGTGAGGAGACTCTGGTGCTCAAATCCAGAACGCTGACAGGTAGAGGGAAACAAGAAGCCCAGCAAGGACACGTGCGTCACTGTCCTGCGTGGTAACTTTGGATGGGTTACACAAAGTGGGCCTTGCTGTCTGCCTGGTTTTCTCAAAGTTGGAAAATGTATCTAAAGCTCCAGATATGTGATTCAAGTTGAATTAAGGGACAGTAGCTTGGAATAGTCCTAATTTTTCTGTTCTCATTCCCCAGGCTGCGCTGGTACTGTGATGCCCACAGAGGGGAGAAATCTGGAGCTGTACTCCTGACAGCAAGCAGCGGGCAGAAGGGACAGGACTGTGGCAGCCCTGTACAGAGGTAAGGCAGTGACAGGCTTCCTTCGTGCAGGTTTATCAAAGGAGCTTTATCAAAGCAAGTGAGGAAACAAGGCTAGCAATTGCACTGGGACCATCTCCAGTTTCTAACCACATCTCCTCAGCTGGTATCTCTGAACGAGTTGATTAGGTGGCTTCCTGCTGGGGTGAGGCATCAAATTTTTCAAATCTGGGGTGAGGCGTCTGTTTTCAAATCTGGCCCAAGTTTCTCTTATTTTCTTCAAGTTTCTCTTTGGGAAAACAGGGATGCATTTAGTCACAGCCTATAAATAAGGTGACTTTTCATTGTTCTGTGCTTCAGAAAACCACTAGCACAAAAGGGATGAACGATTTCAAACTGCTGGTTCTGGATTTTTAATTATTGCAAAATAATATTGTGGGCAATGTGTGACCACCTGAAGCAGAAACAAATCTCTCCCTTGCCAAGCAGAAAGACATTTGGCAGGTGGCTCTTTGTCAATGGCTTCAGACATGCCCAGCACATGCTCTAGCATAATGTGTTTACTACGTACACAAGACCTCTTTAAACCAAAGTGGGATGGTCCAAATCACACACGAGCCATTACACTTCCAGGGCTCCCAGCTAACAGACCTCTGCATCCAGCCCTGTTGCCAGGAAACTGCGTTTATTTTTCCTCCCCTTATTTTTGGTGCCTGCCTCTCTGCTGCTAGCTCGCTGCCAGTTTCCAGGGGCCAGCAGGAAGAACTGTTGTAAAAGGAGCAAATCAGCCTGACGCAGGCTGGGGGATCCACTGATGGCAACAGGCTGCTACGGAGGATTTTTGACCCAAGTTTTTGCTGCAGAATAGCTCCATAAAGCGTTTTTGTCGTTATGGACTGAGCGGTCTTGCTGTAGAATAAATGGGTGGTTATGCTTATATTAAATATTAACACTTCCTCAGATTTTTTTGTAAAAAGGAGATGATTTTAGGTAATTGAGGTGTTGATGGTGGTATGCTAGTAGTCATTGTCTTGTCAGAAATGCATGTCGTCTGGGACAAGCTGCTGAATGGACAAACCAAAGTGAAGCCTATAATTAATGAGTGCAAATATAATGCAAATTGTGGTCTTGCAGTTCCCAAAGGGAGTTTAAATTAATCAGAAACAATCAATAAAGGAAGCAGGTAGGTTTCAGGGCAGGGGGATCAAGCAATAACATTGGTGTCAACCTCATGCGTGTGTGAAACTCAGCGTATATAAAATAATACAGGTAGGGATGTGTGTACCCTGGGCAAATGCACAATGAAATGGCTGCAGACAGCCAGTATATGCCTCTCTCTTAGTAGACCATCAATCTTTCTTATTTTCCAGTAATGTATCTCGAGAGAACTGGTCACTGCATAGCATTGAAGGCCTCTTGAGAAACATTGGTTGTATTCCAGTACCTTTGGCTCAAGCCCACAAAGTTAAAAGTCCTTTGAACTCAAATGGCTCTTTGCAGCCCAGGCTAATCTGAAGGTAATGGGTGTAGGCTGGGTACTTCACAACTCAACAGCGTTTGGCTATGAACAATTCTTGATTTAAGTGAGCCAAAGATGCTGTTAGGACGGAAGATTAATTTAATTGTTCATTATTTATACTACATTCACATCTACGTACTCTAAAAAGTGCCACTCCTGTTGTGCTTCATGCTATTTATGAGCACAGAAAGGTGCTGGCTCTGTCCCAGCCTTCATTCTTTTTAAAGTAAAGTCAACAAAGAAAATGAAAGTTGAGCAAGTTGAAGTAACTAGCTAGGGTCGTACAGCAGACCACTGAAATGTCTCCTAATTTCCAGTCTTCTGCCAGGCCTGAGGATTTGATGTACATTGCTGACACACCTGAAAGGGATCCTAAAGCAACATCACTCCTAAAAAAAAGCATGAGGGAGTTTGATAACAAACCACTGCACCTGTCTGTCCTGCAGTTACCCAGCTGCATATTTCCTCCCTGGAAGAAAAACGGGGAGGAAAGCAAGCAGCCTGTAAAGCCACTTGCTTCTGAGACCTGATACAGGAACACGCAGTTCAGAGCTCATCACAGCAGCTGGGGTAGCAAAGTATTGGGGGTGATTGCTCCTGCTAGGTATGCAGGTGGGACAGAGGACTGGGACCAGCAGATAAGCAGCACCAGATAAATTAGCACTGAGCAGCTGTAGCTGTACTATCATTTTTTATTTTTTTTTTTGTCCCATGGTATTTATGATTCTGTTCAGTGTGCTGTAGGGGCTTGGCCTGGAGGTGTGTGACGGTGAACTGATACTAAGTCTGTCACAGGGAAATCTGAGCTGCGAAAGAGCTGCAGCTATTTTTGTGTGGTTCAGGGATGTGTTGGAGGAAAAAAGATGTGGTAAAATCTGCTTCATTTTAGACTGAATTCAAACAGGTTTGGAAGGCATCTATAAACGTGGACTGTGTCAGATCGATACAAACTAATGAAGGCTAGCAGACAGTTGCAGCAAGGGTGGCAATAAAACCTCTGGCTTAAGTGCCAAGTGAAAACAGGCTTCTCTCAGTAGCTCCACTGGAAGAAATAATCCGTTTCTAATTAAAGAGCTGGAATGGACGTGTGCAATGTGATGGCAAATATCCATGGCTGAGGCATCATCAGACCTAAAGCCTAACTGGGTAGTACTAAAAAAAAACCACGTCTAGCTCAAAACACTGTGTGGTACAGGAATAGAAAACGAAACGTGCCCTTGGAGAAGTGTATGTGTAGAATATGATCCGTATTGAAGTATAATTAAGGCTTTGTTCAGCTTGGTCATTAGCTCTTCTAACCTGAGTGCTAAACTCAAATGTGACAGTGGATTACAGAGGTAGGAAAGGACACTTTAGCACTCTTGTCTTCTGGAAGGGGCCTCACAAACAGAAACCAAGTTTGTACACCAGACAGGCTCCAGCTATCAGGATTGATGGTCCCTTCACATGGTAAATGAGGATCCCAGAACATCGTCTTGGACTGCAGTCATTACCTCTCTGCTAATCAGGGAAAATGAGGCCCTTAATCTGAATTAAGGAGGGTGCATGTGTTAGTTTAGTGCTTCTGGCCCGACACATTCACATGTACATGATTTAATTCTGGTTTACCTGTTGTTTTCATGGCTGGATACATCTCTCCAGGCAGCAGAGACTGGTCACGAGGTTATCCAGACATCAGTCATCCAACAGGACTAGCAGATAAGCCAGATTGCCGAGCAATGCCCTGCTGTATTCCAGTTCAGTATTTGCTTCTGAAGTATTTCCCAGGATTTGGGGCACACTTCAGGTAATGCTATCTCTTGCTGCTCCTAACACAGTGCTCTAACTGTGATTAATGCTACCGTGGTGCAGACATGCAGTTCTCTCTAAAGCAGCCTGGTACCAGCCCCATTTCCTAGGCAGAGCTCAGTCTTTAGGCAAACAGATCATGTTTGAGAGGATCAGTCTGACATTTTGCTGTTGAGTAAGATGTTAGTACGTACGTATGCCCTGGGTCTCTCTGCACAGGGCAGAAACGGGCTCCATGACACAGTAAAGCAGCTGGTGCAGAAAAGTAATATTCAGAGACAAGTAAGAGAAGCAAGAGCTGATCTTCAGGAGTCACTCAGTATGAACAAGGTGGAAATTACCTGCAATAAGCAAAGTCTGCTTATCCTTACAGGAGACGTGATGTGGAAAGCTTTCCAAACCACTAGGCCTGGTTGCAGGCCTCTGATGGTTGCAGGCTTATGCAGGTGCTTGGCACTTTCCTATTTCTCCCCTATCACTGTCCTGCAGTTAAAGTCGGTGTAGATCTGAGCATTGTGAGGGATGAGCTCTCACAAATGTCTGTGAAGTGGTTGAAGATGTTACTGTTCTTGTCAGTCTGTCCCTCAAAATTCAGTGTACACATTAAGGGAGGCAGGACAGAGGCGTGGGCCCAGACACTACCTCCACTATCCCAGTATACCTTGTTTAACCTACTGGTGAAAGCATGCTTGATGCTAAAAAATAAAAAGCAGGTTGCAAACCTCAGCAGCTGAGGTGTGGGAGGCCACGCAGCAGAAGGCCTGGTGAGCAGTGAGGGTGATGCTGGCTTCAGGGCATGCCAGGGTAAGCCCTGGTGACACCCTGAGGCTCTGCTTAGTCAGGAGTCCCAGCAGAATCATCTAGGTGCTAAAACAACTGCAGAACAGTGCAAAACCTTGCGTGAAGGCTGCTGTGTGCTGCTAGGAAAGCTTGCAGCTGCTATAACAGCAGCGTGGTGTTACAGGTAAAACATCAAAAACATCTTCAGCAAGCACGAAATTAGCATCAGATGCTTTGGCCCACAACACAGCTTGTAATGTCTCTCACCTCAGAGCTCGGTGGGGCTCTTCTGGATTTAGCTTGGACACGGCCCTGACACATCAAACCTTTCACAAACCAGCCAGCAAGAGCTTAGGACAACTTGTTTTCTCTGCCCTGTCTGGTTCTATTGGAAGGCTGTTCCGTAACTGCATGGTTAATGTGGCCAGAAATCATTGAATTCTGCAGTTTAAATTAATTCCTCATTGCCATATACCCATTCACATCTTCCTGATATTTCTGAACCCACCATCTCAGTGAACACACTGTAAAGAGTGGATTCCTTGTTGGTAGGCTGGACTGATTCCTGACAGTGCTGCACGCCTGCAAGAATGAGAGCTGAATACAAAATCTGGGAGTCATGGGGATGATTCACATTAATTCATGTTAATTTTGCACAAGGGTAAATACTGTGAGAGTGCTCACAACAGGGTTGAGCCTGTCATGGAAACTTTTGTTTTACCTGTTTGTATGTGTTTAATAAGGCTTGCAGGACAAGAGAGAGTTTTTATCTGATTACTTAATCTAAAAAGCAAAATCTCAGAAATTAAGGACTGGCTGGGAACTGTAGCAGCCAGGGCAGTGATTCGTGTACCTCCTTTGATGCACCTCTCTGACCCAATGGATTTAGAATTACTTTTTTGTTCAGAGCAGCAGTTTTAGCAGGAGAGATGATGAATGAAAATACCTGAAATAT